ACACTGTTAGAAAACTGAGCCATGACAGTAGTAAAGCAAAGAAAGAGCAGGAGAACAACACCAACAAACCAAATCAACTCCAATGGAGAGTTGAAGTGGGAGGCCATGGTGACCAGAGGAGAGCCTGGAGACATGAGGCATGGCTTAGAGGCACCTGAGCCGATCCAGGCCTAAATAGGGTCTTGGTCAGGGGGCTGGGTCACAGGGAGTTTGAGAGTCATGACCCAAGACCAGCAGGTCCAGTAAGCTATTGTCCAAGTTCCCACCCCTGCCTCTAAGAATTCAGGCATGCCCATTAACTAAGAGGTGGGACTTCACCTTCCTCCAACAGGAAGAGAAGATGGCACCAGTTAAACCCAATTTCCTGTTATCCACCATGTGGCCATAATGCTGCCGGCTCTTCCCAGTATCCTTACTTCATTGTATAATATGTACAATGTCTATGCTCTTAACTTCTAATCAAGCAGATACATTTTGTACACTTCTATTTTGTACACACTCTATTTTCTAATTCTAGTCCTGCTACTATTAGAAACTAATTTTTAATGTACTATGTTTAAGCAAAGTCATGAAAGCTGCCATTAAGTCTCCTCCTATTTCCCCTGCAGCCAGATGGCTGCAGAAGTGTAGCCCCTGGTTAGAAGGGCTGTAAGGCATAGGAGGAGCACCCAGAGGAGGGTCTGGATTACTGACTGGTTCTGGGTACCTCTGCTGAAATTGCATCCGAGTTAATAAGTCAGAATGTGTTTTGCCATGACAACCAAAATGTAGGTTCACCAGTGAAATTGTGAAACAAAAATTAGAGAACTAAACAGTGGAGGGTATATACATATATACATGTGTGTACATACATATGCATGTGTATGTATATATATGTGTGTGTGTGTGTGTGTGTGTGTGTGTGTGTGTGTGTGTATGTATATAGTAGTTGGGTGCCAGTGGTTCAAGCTTATAATCCTAGTTACTAAGGAACCTGAGATCTGAGCATTGCAGTTTGAAGCTAGTTCACGTGGGAAAGTCAGTGAGACTCATCTCCAGTTAAACACTAAAAGCTGGAAGTGGAGCTGTAGCTCAAGATAGAATACAAGCTTTGAGTGACAAAAAAACAAACAAACAACTAAGGTGTAGTGCCCAGGCCCTGAGCTCAAGCCACAATACTAGTACTAAATAAATAGAATAGAATAACAGAGACCAGAGAGTATCTTTTCCCCCTTTTCCTCAGCATCTATTAGCCAGCAAATGAGCTTTCACCAGATACTGGATCTCTGGCACCTTCTGTGTCTTCAATTTCCCAGTCCCCAGAACTTCAAGCAAGAACTCCTGCTACTCCTTCTATGATGGAGTCCATCTATGATGGAGTCCATCTATGATGGAGTCCATCTATGATGGAGTCCATCTATGATGGAAATAAAGGGGCAGAATCTGTGCACATGTACTCTAATCTGGACCCTCACTACTACTCAGAGAGAGAGTCAATGTTTCTGCAGTATCCGCATTCCCTAGAAACTCATTGAGTTAAGACTCTCCAACTCCCCACAACCTTAAATTTAGATTTCAGCGTCTGACTTTAATAAAGACCCTAGAAAGCTTCTAGGTCTGTGAGAGGTTCCTGAGTCTTGCGAATGTTGTCATATGTCAGCATCACCTGAGCTGGAGAGAGCTTGTTACAATGTGGCCAACTGGGTGGTAGGACCAGATTATCTGACTTGGTAGGTCTGGGGTAGGGTCCCTGGTAATGCTGGTGTTGCTTAGAATGGTGTCTAGATGAGCTGCTACCCTACCCTCTACCCCAGGTGAGTGACATGTTGTTATGGACTCAGGTAGAAGAAATACAACTTCTCCATATTCTAAGGTAAATGGACCTGGATTCAGCCATCCAATCCAGAAGCACTCAGAAGTCTCTCCTTCCTCATAGAGCCTTTGGGTGGTCTTTGAGAAATAAGCATTTAAAAAAAAAAATCTCCTCAGCCAGATTGCCACGTCAATCATTTAGTATCGTGCAAGCTTACTCTCAGCCTTTCACACATTTGAAGACCTCTCTTTGGAAGGACATAACTCATCCCCACACCCAGACAGTGGATGGCTCTAGGAACAGAGGAAGCTTTATGCAATAATCTTCTTAGGTGTACTCCACTTGAGTATGAGCACTTTAGCCTAATCCCAGGCTCACTCTCGCCCTCTTCTGGTCATGTTTGTGCACTGCACAGACTGCAACTCAAAACTACCAAAATCAACCCCACTTTCCTGCCACTGAGGACAGACAAGACAGCTCCATTGATGATCTGGGTCCACAGAGCGCCAGTCATTACCAGAGAGGAGGCAGGATGACGTTCTAGCATCAGAGCTATATATGCATAGCAGATGGAGGTGAGAACTCCACTCATTTGTTGGCTGCTGAGCAAGCAAACGCATAGTAACTGAAAAGCACAAACTCCTCTGGACTGTGTTCTTTGAAGATTGTGTGTGTGTGTGTGTGTGTGTGTGTGTGTGTGTGTGTGTGTGTGTGTGATTTTCTCTAAGATAGTGTCTGTTGGGCGGCGGGGGAGGGGCACGGACAGTAGCATCAGAATCTTAAGGAAGTTGTTGGAATTGTTCACAGCAGCTTTACCCTGGATCTATTGTTTTAGAAAACGATCTGACCATTCTGAAGCCTAGTAAAAATCTGCACAAAAATTTGCCTCTTTTGAGTTGTTTTTGACAAATGCATATTAGCATTGTGGAATAGATGCTATTTTGAGAAAAAGCGATGCCCACACGGGTGTAAGCACCATCCCTGGTGCCTCCACAGGACCTTCCCCCACCCAACCCAATCGTAATAACTGGCACCTGTCACTGCAGCCTTTCCACCAATGGGTCGTAGGTTTCCTACTGCCCAGCAATCCTGTCAGAGTCTGAACAGTCCTTTCGAGGGCTGGCACTGATCTTCCTTGGGTTCAAGTTCCCAGGTTCCCAGGTTCCTTTCCATGAGCTCATGCCAGCCTAATCCCAAGAGGAGCCACATCCTTCAAGCTAATATCTCAACCCTGAATGGCAAAAATCTCTTCAGATCTTGGAGAAAGGAAGCTCAAGCCACAAAACACAAAGGCTCCCCTCCCCTCTCCTACCCATGCCTGATAAAACCTTTTCTTCCAAGTTCCATCGTGAGCTCATTGGCTCCCAAAACAAGAGCTCCAAAGTTGGGTTGGCCTTCAGAGATAACCCCCATTGAGGAACATAGTCCCCCTGAGCTGGCTGTTGTATATGTGTATGTGTGAAGTGGCAACGTGGTTTTCCTTGGCAGAGGGCAATTGCCAAAGGAGTTAGCTGGGAGCTTTCTACAGAGATACTCCAGCCATCAGGCAATAGAGAGCTCAACCTCAGCCTGGCACCAGTGGCACATACCTGTAATCCTAGCTACTTCAGGAGGCTGAGATTTGAATATGAGGTTCAAAACCAGCCTATGCAGGAAAGTCTGTTATTCTCTTTCCTCCAAAAATCCAGAAATCTCTACCAAAAAGCTAGAAGTGGATATGTGGTTCATGTGGTAGAGTACTAGCCTTGAGCAAAAAAACTCAGGGACAATACCCAGGCCTTGAGTTCAAGACCCAGTACAGGGCTGGGAAGGTGGCTCAGTGGTAGAGCGCTTGCCTTGCATGCATGAGGCCCTGGGTTCAATTCCTCAGCACCACATAAGCAAAAAAGTCAAAAAAGCTGGAAGTGGCGCTGTGGCTCAAGTGGTAGAGCGCTAGCCTTGAGCTGAAAAGCTGAGGGACAGCGCCCAGGCCAAGAGTTCAGGCCCCATGACTGGAACCAAAAAAAAAAAAAGATCCAGTACACACACACACACACACACACACACACACACACACACACACACACACACACACACCTCAGCCTGAATGGTGGGCACCCACTCCAAAATCCAAGAATGATTTGTAGAATACAGCATTCATTTACTGCAAATGAGAAAAAAAATCTCAGAGCTAGGTCTCTGTGCAGAGAATAAAAGGGGATGTGTTCTTCCACTGGCTTTAATCCTCATTCTGTATTTTTAATCAGCCTTTCAGGCTCTAGCCAACTGTACTGCATGCTTTTATGTCTAATGAGGGTTTTGGCTCTCTTCTGCCTCTTTGTCTTTGATACCATGTGTAGCCCATTAAGGAGGAGGCATCATGCTGCCGGCCCATTCTTAATCTTTTCTGCTTACCCCAGCTGCACAGATGCTAACACTGACATCTGTTCTCTGTAATCTCAGACTTTCTCAACCCTGCCTTATGTAAGGTTGACCTATTTTTCCAGGTCCACTCAAATTATCAGCAAATACATAACCATGATTCTATCCATGGGACTCCACGCTCAGTGATTTGTGGGCGCCTGCATCCGACCCATGCCACCTCCTCGGGGGCCCCTCCCCGGTCTTTCTCTACATCCAAATCCCTTTTTGAGTTTCAGCTGAAAGGTTTAATTCACTTGTACCATCATCAGAAGCTGCCTGTTCTCTCCTGTTCTGAGGCATCTCCATCTGAGATCTCTCCCATCTGAAGGACATCATCTGGGCCATCTTTTCCATTCCAGGCAGTGAAAGCCTGCATCCTTTTGGACCGCATCACCCTCCTCTTCCAGTGAGACATCATCTACCTATCTTGCTTGCTGTGGTCTTTCTCACAACCTGGATTCAGTGTCAGCTGAATTACCCCCCCACACACATTTGTCCTTTTCTATCCAGGATCTCCTTTCCCCCAGGGGGCTTTTCACTGCCCTTTATTGCTCCTTCCCAACAGCCAGCTGCTCTGCCTCCTTTTGTCCTGCCTTTGTCACACGACTATGTCCCTCAGTGCTAGGTCAGTTTCTCCTCTTCTTTGGAAGCATCTCTTTCTTCCACATCCTGGTGTGTCCCCCTCCTTAGATCTTCTCTAGCTGCATTACTTATAAGGGGAAGTTTCCTCTGCCTCTCACACAGTTGCCTGCTCTGAAGAATGAAAAAGATCGGAAGTAGCACCAGGTAAAACCAAGTTTCCTACCTGGCCCCTCTTCTTTATGATTCTTTTCCCATGAATTGCTGTTAACTTTTTTCTTCATATTCTTGATGATGGAGTGAGATGAAATCTCAGTGGTTTTGTTGTCGTCATTGTGCTAGTCAGAGCCTCGGCTTTGTCGTTTTGCTTTTTTGCTCAAGGCTAGTGCTCTACCACTGCAGCCACAGTTCCACTTCCAGCTTTTTGGGAGCTCATTGGAAATAAGAATCATTACTGCCCAGTCGGGCTTCAAACCACAATCTTTAGATCTGAGCCTCCTGAGCAGACAGGATTACGGGCAAGAAACACCTACACAAAACGTTTTGATTTGCATTTCCTTTATACCCAGGGATGAGCGTTCTTCGTGTATCTATTGGCTCTCTTTACTTTTTTCTGATAAGTGTCTATTTAGCTCCTTTGACCATTTGTTAATTAGGTTATTACACCTTGGGGGCTTGGTTTTATTTTTTTTTACCTCTTTCTATATTCTTGTTATTAGACCCTTGCCAGACATGTTGCTGGCAAAGCCAACCATTCATTGAGATAATAGTTTGTGCAACCTGGTTCTTGGATATGAAAACTGGACCCAAGAAGCCAAAAGATCAACAAAGAAGTACATAGCTCTGAGATCATTTATAGATCATTAGTGAACTGGTTCTGGGTGGCAGTAAGACTGGAAGCTTTCTGTTATTTGGGTCAGGGGGAGGGGCTTATAGAGAAGTCAAAGTTAAAATGACTTCCTCCAAACATCCTGGCTGAATGCCCTCAGAAGCCTTTCCTGGTGCTGATGCTACCTGAATCCAATCACAGACCTTGTTTACTTGTAGTATGCTGAGAAAAATATGCAGGAAGAATGGATCAAGGTGGTTCAGAGGTAGTCACAAGCATAATGACTCCAAGTGGCTGCAGTCAGGTCCAGCTGAATCCCACATCATTGACATATGTCCATTAAGACAGCCTGAACCAGCGGTTTCCTCTGATGCCTATGTTTGTCAGTTGTTATTATAAAGGTGATATACAAGGGGGTTACTGTTATAGAAGTCAGGTAATGAGTACATTTCCTTTTGGATAATGTCACCCCTTCCCTCATTCTTCCCAGTTTTCCCCTTCCATCTTCACAGATCAGGCGGTGAAAACAGGTGCTTTACACAGCTTCCCACGCTGCAGGAAATGGATGTAGTCAAGGGCAGGCAAGGCTGGCCTCTGACCCCAAATCTGCCATTTATGTATTTGCCATATTAAACATTTCATTATCTGAGCTCCATATTAAAACTTTGTTCAAAGAGAAAAAAATGGTGCGTGTTTCCTCTCATATTCAGAAGCTAGATCTACCTATACACTAGAAAATGTAAATGATACAGGACTCTTGACAGCCACACCCAGTGAGACCAAAGGGGATACACCAAGGGAGGAGCGCAAAGGTGCAATGCCTATGTGCATTTGATCATATAAAACAATATTTATGGAAATAAACTTCAGGAAATGGAAACAAGAGGTATTTGATTTCCTTTTCTTTTTGTTTTGTTTGTTCATTTATATGTCTTGGCGGGGGGTAAGGAAGAGCACAGAAACAGAGGAATAAAGGGTGAACTAATGCAGCAGTGATATTCACTAGATGCCATGTTGAAAATGAACTATATGCCAGGCACTGGTGGCTCATGCCTGTAATCCTAGCTACTCAGGAGGCTGAGATCTGAGGATTGTAGTTCAAAGTCAGCTGGGGCAGGAAAGTCTGTGAGACTCTTATCTTTGACTAACCATCAGAAAACCAGAAGTGGCACTGTAGTTCTAAGTGCTATAGTGTTAGCCTTGAGCAAAAGAACTCAGGGGCAGTGCCCAGACCCCAAGTTTAAGCCATACAATTGACAGAAAGAAAGAAAGAAAGAAGAAAGGAAGAAAGTTTAAGCCATACAACTGACAGAAAGAAAGAAAGAAGAAAGGAAGAAAGGGAAGAAGGAGGAAATGAAGGAAGGAGGGAAGGAAGGAAGGAAAAAGAAGGAAAGAAAAAGAAAAAAGAAAGAAATGGGGGAGATGGGAGGGCAGGGATGGTAAGGGGAAACAAAGGAGTAAGCAACAATGCTTGAAATGCTCATGTAATTGTAACCCCTCTGTACAGTATTTTCACAAAAAAGAAAGGAAGAAAGAAAGAATGAAAAAAGAAAAGAAAGAAAGAAAGAAAGAAAAAGGAAGGAAGGAAAATGAACTATACAACTTGTGGAGATGGAAGGGGAAAACTGGGAAGAATGAGGAAGGGGTGACATTGTCCAAAAGGAAATGTACTCATTACCTGACTTCTATAACTGTAACCCTCTTGTATATCACCTTTATAATAACAGCTTTAAAAAGAACATGCTATGGGTTGGGTATTAATGGCTCATGTCTATAATCCTAGCTATAGAAGAGGCTGAGATCTGAGGATCACAGTTTAAAGCCAGCCAGGTAGAACAGTCTACAAGATCTTTATCTCCGATTAACCATCAAAAAGCCAGAAGTGGAGCTGTAACTCAAGTGATAGAACATCATCTTTCATTGGGAAAAAGCCAAGTGAGAATGTGAGGCTCTAAGTTCAAGTCCCGGTACTGGGGGGGGGGGTGGGGGAGGGAACCTTTGCTTATGGAATTTGCTTAGTGCAGTTTCCATATGGAGTAGGATGCATTAGCTAAGAAGAGATGAATCAAAGCTAAGACTGTGACCAGGAAGTCCCTCATGACTGGTTCTGACATAGAGATTACTGCTCTCAGTGATGGTGGGAAAGAAGGCCAGCTCTGTGACACTCACCCACAGAGACACCAGGACTCTTCCAGGAGTCCTGTCATTTGCAACACAAATGACAAAAGTGACATCCAGGAAGAGGAAACCACTTCTCCCAAGTCCCTCCTGCATTATATTGGAGCAGCTGCTGGAATCCATGTCTACAAGGAATGACAGGCAGAACTCGCTTGTGTAAGAGCACAAAGGCAGGAACACACACACACACACCACACACACACACACACACACACACACACACTCACACACACACACACTCCACTCCTGCGGCTGCTACAAGGACACAGAAATGCTCCTGTGCAAATGTGCTCGGGAGACTGCTTTTGCTTCATTTCGTTATTAATAGTCTGACACCCAGACCCATTTTCTTCGGTCTCTTTCAAGAGAATACACAGCCATTGTGATGCTTCACGGGCCAATCAAGCCACCTTGCAATTATACAGCAATTTCCACAGAACAGCTGAAATAAATTTAAGTATTATCTTGTGCACCATAGTCATAAGAAAATGCTTCTCGATGATAGCAATTATAGAAATCTGCTACTAGGGTAAGATCCAAGATCTGAAGCCTTGCTGGGTGCCTGTAGCTTACATCTATAATCTGAGATTTGGAGGATCATGAGTTGAAGTCAGCCTCAGCAGAAGTCTTCAAGATTCCATCTCCGGAAAATGCCAGACTGGAGGCATGGCTCAAGGGGTAGAGCACCAACCAGACAAATGAGAATACAAGGTCCTAAAATCAAACCTTAATGCCGGAAATATAAATAAATAAATAGCCTGTTGCCAAAAACAAAGCAAGCTGCCCGCCTCACAGCTCCCTGGCTTGCAGGGACAGATCTTTCTGGCACCACTGATTATTTGAGCTGCTGACTCCTTGAGGCTGTCTTAAACGAACCCTTACCACCCATAAACCCATAAACGTAGCTGCCCTCTGGCCTCACCCAGTTATGCTTGTCCTCTCTTTCTTCTCCTTGAAAGTGTTATCTGTGGCCATCTTAATAGTAGCCCACACCGAACACATCTTTTTAAAAACTCTTGATTTGAAAACAGAATTTTTGTTTAAAGCTAATTAGCCTTCAAAGTCCATATCAAGGGAAATGATTTGAATCACAGAATCCAATAGCCATCTGTGTGCTTTGCCCATGACAGAGGTGTGTGGTGGTGACAGGTGGGGCTGTGGCTGGCTTAGCAGGAAGCATGTCCCTGGGTGTTTAATACCACCCCACAGCCCCAAACTCACCCTGCTGCGAGTAGTTGTAGGCCCTACACAGATGGCCCAAAGCCAACGATCTTTCAAATTTACATGCTATGTGATATACTTACAAATATGAGCACATTTGTTTGGGTGCTTTTCCTTTTTCTAGGTGACCCTGAGAGGCCTGGAGGCAGGAAGTTGTCTGTAAAAGTCTGCAGGCCCTAGCTGGGTGCTGGTGGCTCATGCCTGCAATCCTAGCTACCCTCGAGACTGAGATCTGAGGATCTAAGTTTGAAGCCAACCTGAGCAGGAAAGTCCATGAAACTCTGAACTCCAATAAATTACTAAAAAAAAAAAACAACCCAACAAACCAGAAGTGGAGCTGTGGCTCAAGTGGTAGAGCACTAACCTTGAAGAAAAAGAAGATCAAGAAGATCAGGGGCAGTGCTCAGGCCCTGAGTTCCAGTCCCAGGACTGGCAAAATAAAATAAATAAATAAAAAGTCTATTGGTCTTGATGATGTCTCTGACCAGAATTCAGGCAACAGAGATTTGAGGAGCTTTTGATTCCTATAGGAGCTTTGGACATCCATTCAGGAAATGTGGGAAATTAACGAGGACCCAGACGGAGAGCTAGGCTCCCAATAATTGTGCCTGTCTCAGAAAACCCTCATTTTAGCAACTCCTGCTGGCATGAGCCTTGCTCTGAGAGTTTGTTTGAGCTTGATTGAATCTCACCACTCTGAGAGGAGAGCATCTCATTTTCTGAGGAAGAAACCATGCACAGACAGGTTGAGAAATTTTGCCCAAAGCCACACAGCTCAAAAGCTGTCGAGCTGAATCACTGTGCTAAACACACGTTTGATCTGGGAAGGATGGGGTTGGGAGGGAAAAGGGAAAGGGATAAAAAGGGGTGATCAAGATGCATTGTCCTTATAAACTGACATGCTGGATAATAACTCCTCTGACTCCTTTTTAAATTAAAACAGTAATTTTTAGCAGAACATCCATTTGATCTGGCTCTGGCACCATTGGAATTCAAAGCATGTTTCTCTAATCCTGCGCCCCCCCCCCAACTCCAACTGAGCTTCCTGGCTGGCAAAC